TGCATCTGGAGAATGGGAAATAGTCAGAAGCAAGAAAGCAAGGAACTCCCCCAGCATTTCCAAACCAAATAATGCTATGGGAAACAAAGGGAGTAGTCAGTCCTCTCAGCAGCCTTTAGATCCACTGCAAGCAGAGGTTGAAGCTGTCTCTGGTGGCTGGGAAGTGGTAAAGGGGAAGAAGTCAAACTCCAGTCACAAGGAAACACCTATAACTGCTACTCACCAGAGGATAACAAGCAAGGACAAGGAAGTGGCATGCAACAATAAGGGCAAGGAAGTGGCAGGCCCAACGGATGTTAGAGTGCGGGGTGATGAATCTATTACTCATCAGAATATCAGTAATGAAGGCACGACAGGTTCAAATGTTGTATTGCTCAGAACAGAAAAGCAATCTCGTGAAGATATTTCGGTTGGCTGCAATGTCAGGACTGGGGAGACGGTTGGTAATGAGATCACTCAGAAAGCAGCTCCTCCGGCTTCCCCAGGTGTGGTTACAAGGAGTAACACTCGGAAATCAGGTGGTAGTGGTAGGAGGCCTCCTACCTCTCCTGCTGGTAAATGATTATCTATTGCTGGAATGTCAGAGGACTCAACAGTCCTCTGAAGCAACATGAGGTGGTTAACCTCATGAAGAAACATAAGATGGATGTTTGTGGGCTTCTGGAGACCAAGTTGCACTCTTCTAAGGTTTCCTCCATGCATAAGTTTCGGATGAAACACTGGAAGTTCCTTACTAATGCTACAGCTGCCAACAATGCCAGAATATTGGTTTTTTGGAATCCATCAACGGTCAAAGTTGAATTACTTGATTGTTCAGCTCAAGGGTTACATGTAATTATCAGCAGCTTAGTCCTCCAGCTTAGCTTCACTGTCACTTTTGTGTATGGATTCAATACAATTGTTGCAAGAAGATCTCTATGGACAGACTTAAGAGCATGGCAGCCTAATTGCCCATGGTTGGTTATGGGTGACTTTAACTCTGTCCTGTCTCAAACTGACAAGCACAATGGAGAGCCTGTCTCCACCTATGAAACATCGGATTTTAGAGAATGTTGTACAGACCTTGGGCTTGTTGATCTCAATTTCACGGGTTGCCACTTTACCTGGAATAATGGAAGAGTATGGAGCAAAATTGATAGAGTTCTGGTCAACTCATCTTGGTCTTCACTACAAGCTCCAGCTCACGTCCACTTCGGCAATCCTGGGGCCTTCACTGATCATTCTCCAGCAATTATTCGGTTTGATTACCAGAACAGACAGGGGAGACGCCATTTTAAATTCTTCAATATGTGGGCTTCTCACGATAATTTCTTGCAGATTATATCTGATAACTGGACCAGCCACATCCAAGGCTCGCCTATGTTCTCTCTTTGTAAGAAGCTCAAGTTTCTGAAGAGACCTTTGAAAGAGCTAAATAAACTACATTTCAGCCACATATCTGAAAGAGTTGCTAGAGCTGAGGCATCACTAGAGAATCACCAAATTGCTCTTCATGATGACAGGGACAATTTACACCTATTGGAGCACGATAAGCAGTTACGGTTGACACTAATGAATCTTAAATCATTGGAGAAAATGTTCTTCTCGCAGAAACTTAAGTGCAACTTTTTCAAAGACAGTGACAGAGGCACAAGCTTTTTTCATGCACTAATGAATCAGAAAAACAGACGGAATTATATTCCTGCTATTCACTGTAGTGATGGCACCCTGACTACATCAGAGGCTGAAATGGGTGAAGAATTCGTAAGGTTCTACCAGCAGCTCCTAGGCTCTTGCAAGGAAACTCTCCCCCTAGATATTGATGTTATTCAAAGTGGGCCCTGCCTCAATGAAAGATCTCATGAGTCTCTTTTAGCTCCTGTATCCAATGACGACATTAAAAATGCTCTGTTTGGTATTGGGAATGATAAAGCTCCAGGGCCGGATGGTTATTCTTCATTCTTCTTCAAAAAATCATGGGATATCATTGGAGGGGATTTTTGTGCAGCTGTTCAGAATTTCTTTACTTCTGGGAAACTTTTGAAGCAAGTTAACCACTCTATTATTGCTCTGATCCCCAAGGCAGCAAATGTAAATACAGCAGCTGACTTTCGGCCCATTTCTTGTTGCAATGTGATCTATAAAGTGATATCTAAAATCCTTTCGGGGAGATTAGCTTCTGCTCTAAACGTCATTATTAGTCCATTGCAAAATGCCTTTCTAGGTGGGAGAATGATGTCAGACAACATCAATTTAGTCCAGGAGCTCCTTCGTCATTACGGCAGGAAAAGAGCTTCTCCTAGATGTCTCATGAAGGTTGATTTCAAGAAAGCTTTTGATTCAGTTCAGTGGCATTTTCTGCGTCAGCTGCTGCATGTGTTTGGCTTCCCAGACCGATTTGTGCACTTAATTATGAAATGTGTTGAAACTACATCCTTCTCTGTTGCAGTAAATGGCACTCTTTATGGTTTCTTTCCTGGAAAGTGTGGAGTTAGACAAGGTGATCCATTATCACCATATTTATTCATCTTATGCATGGAATACTTCTCCAGAATGCTTAAGCTAGCGTCGAGGAATAGTGATTTTCGCTTCCACCCGAAATGTAATGTCCATGATATATGCCACCTTGCCTTTGCTGATGATGTGCTTTTGCTGTCTCGTGGGGATAGACACTCGGTTTCCACTATTTTCCAGCAGCTAATCATCTTCGGGCAAACTTCAGGGTTGACTATAAATGCAGCGAAATCATCGATCTATTTTGGGGGAGTTAGAGATAGTTTGAAGCAGTTAATCCTCCATGACACTGGCTTTAGAGAAGGAAGTTTCCCCTTCAAATATCTTGGTGTCCCTCTCAGTCCCCACAGACTTCTAGCAAGCCAATACTCTCCTTTATTGCAGAAACTGGAATTGGCAGTGCAAAGTTGGATGGGAAAACATCTCACTTATGCTGGGAGATTGGAGCTTGTGCGGACAGTACTCTATGGAATGGTTCAGTTCTGGCTTAGCATCTTTCCTATGCCAAGCAATGTAGTTCATCAAATTATTTGCATCTGCAGAAACTTCTTGTGGTCAGGCAACCATACAAACAGCAACTCTGCTCTGGTGGCCTGGAAGCAGCTCTGTCTCCCCAAAAAGGAAGGAGGCCTAGGTCTATTTGATCTAAAAGCTCGTAACAAGAGTTTCTTAGCAAAACAGCTCTGGAATATCCACCTCAAAACTGACTCCATATGGATCAAATGGGTTCATCACTTTTACCTGCGTCAGAATATTATATGGGCTGTGACTGCACATCACTCTTCATCCCCTCTTTGGAAATCTATTATTATGCTAAAAGATCAGTTGCTTGAAGACTGTGGGTGCCAAGAGGAGGCAGTAGCATTACTCCAGCAATGGAACAGAGGGGATGACAGCTTCTCGGTGCAAGCATATAATTATTTTAGACTCTCTGGTCCTCAAGTTAGCTGGGCGCGAGTAGTGTGGGAGAAATGGTCTATGCCAAGACACAACTTCATTTTATGGCTAGCAGTGTTGGGAAAATTGAGAACAAAAGATCGGCTGCGGTTTCTTCAATTAGATACCTCGTGTGTACTGTGTGGGCAGATAGAAGAATCACACAGCCACTTATTTTTCACTTGCTCTTGGTCAGCTTCCCTCTGGTTGCAAATCAAGCTGTGGCTGCGCATCAATAGGAGGATGATGACCTTAACCAGTGCCATCAGGGGGCTTCACACTGGAGGAAATAACTTAGAAGCCCGAATGAGAAGAGTCTCTTTGGGTCTCACGGTTTATCTCATCTGGGAAGAAAGAAACAAGAGAACTTTTGAAGGAAAGAGTTCTGCGGTGGGCATTCTTTTTAGAAAATTTCAGATTATGTTCTATACTGTTTTTCACTTCTACGAGAAAGACCACCACATTCTCAATGTTGGTTGAGGTGCATGTTGCGGTCCTCTGAAGATAAGCTGCTCATGGCAATGCTTTTGTTCAACTTTCATTGCTGGTTGGTTGATGGGAACTGCTGCGCATACATGTCGAAGATGAACACTGATTCAAGACTGACCG